CTTAAAGGCGCAGGCTCCGCGCGCGCCCGCGCTTAAAGGCGCAGGCAACCTTTCTCCCTCCCCTTCCAAGGCGTGCCCGCGGTCCCCCTGGAGCGGCCTGGGCGTTGCTGGGAGCGAGCGAGAAACCTGGGACACAGAGAGACGGAGAGAGCGAGACAGGGGCAGAGACTCGCAGAGATAAAAGAGACAGAGATGGAGAGATGGGCTGACTCAGGGTGAGGGGCAAAGAGGAAAGGACTGAGAGCTAGAAAGATACGCTGTATGTTCAAGGAGACTCCCAGACCCAGACCCCGAGCAGACGCCCAGAGGGATGGAGAGAGGAAGACAGGTCAGAGGAGTGAAGGACAGAGATCTAGAGAAACTCAAGAGACAGAGACGCAGTCACACACACACACACACACACACACACACACACACACACAGATTTACCGCACCCCCGGAGTGACTGCCGTGTCCATGGTGTGATGGTGTGTGTGTATGTGTGTGTGTTGCTCCCACCCTCTAGCCGAGTCCCGTCACCCCAGTCTCCTGCATCAAGCTGTCCCCTTCTGCCCTTTTGTCACATTGGCACCTCCCTGCGGTGTCCTTTCCGAAGGTGGGGTCTTTCCCTGGGCCCTTTCTGGTCAGTGGGCAAACTCCGATTCTTCCCAAGCTTCCTTGCCTTGGTATCAAGAGGGAGAGATGGGTGCCAGGGTCCAGGCTAGACCTGAAGACTCACTTACCCCAGGAAGGCGTGAGAGGGTGGGTGGGAGAAGGCAGGGTCAGGAGCCTAGCCAGGGGGACCTGGGAGATGGGCCCACTGTCCTTCCTTCTCCCACAATCAGGCCCACTGGGCCACACAGGACCCTGCTGGAACATATCATACTTGAACTTGGCTCACCAGGAGTGGTGTCTGCCTGCCCTGATGCTTGTGAGAGGGGGAAGGCCCGCCTCAGGTCTCCTGGCAGATGGTGTGGCCAGAAGCCTGGTGTGGGCCTGGGAACTCGGTTCTGGCCATGTGGGGGCCTGATCTTTTGGGAGCTCTGTTCTTGCCCTAGGTGTTATACGAGGCAGGGAGACAGGGCAGAGAGGATGGCCATAGATTTGCTGTAAGGGACCCAAGGCTTCATGGAAAAAAAACAAAAACTCCCCACCTGCGTGGAGGAGTAAAGCAACCTTGTGGGGGCAGGGTACACTCAGCTCCCTGCATCTCTGACATCTCTAGTGTGACTGAAAATTTCAGAACAGACTTTTGGCTTCTTCCACTTGTGTGTATTGAAAAAAACAGCAGCTAAAATTAACTCCGGCCTAGGACCTTTTCCAGCTCATTAGCAAAGTTCATCAGTGCTCTTGGCCCAGCGCAGCGGTTCCAACAAGGATACAGAGGCCTCGGGAACCAGAGGGAGGGGGCAAGGTGACAGGGAGATGCTCCCGAGGCCAGGAGTGGGATTTGGAATTGGCTGGGGGTAGATTCCAGGACACAGGAGCAAGGAGTCGGGGGCAGAGCGGATTAGGGGAGAAAGAAAAAAATCGTTCATTAATGAGCAGCTTACTGCTGTGGGTAGCCGGGCTCATCTCGCTGGGGATGGTGAGGACTTGGTGAAGCACATATCAGAATGAATGAAGGGCTCAGTGAGCCTCACCTTTCTAGTTCTCGGGTCTCTTGCTTTCTGATGGTCGGATCAGGGTGTAGCTGCCTTAGCAGTTTCCTGCTTCAGCTGGCAAGGCTGACTTCCTGCAAGATGTCCCCAAGGAGAAGCCACATGGACCTACCCCAATGCAACCCTGGGTGCTGAAGCACCTGTGTGGAGACCCCCGCCAGCGCTGAGAAGCCAGCACTGACTTGGCTTTCCTCCTGCAGTTGGCATCATTGTGTCTGTTTTGTGAGATGGAGGAGGACTTTGTGGATCGGTGCTGGACCTATGGGTTAATGGGTTAATGTTGGACTTGTGGGCTTGGGCAGCACTGGGTTGGGATGTTCTCTCGATGCACACTTACCCTTTATATAAACCTCTGTCTTATACATGGGTTTCTGTGGATTTGTTTCTCTAAAGTTCCCAGACTAACACAAGAGGCAAAGATGCTGCCATTAGTCCAGTGCTGAGCACGGGTTTCTGGCCAAGGCTGTTAGCTAGCTAGCTGACACTGCAGTCAAAGCACTGACTGAGGCAGGCCCATCCTGCCTTCACTGAGCTGAGTTCACATTTGAAATAGGGGAGAGGCTGGAACTGTGGGAGGAAGGCTGGAGCGGTCAGAATTGTAACAGGAGAAATAGGATCACATAGGCTTGGTGCTCTGGTGGTGAAGAGGCTAGACCTTGGGCTGCCAATCACAAAGCCAGTGGTTCAAGCCCACTGTTCTCTGGGAGAAAGATGAAGATTTCTGCTCATATAACAAACTTCCCAGCGCCCCAGGGACAGTTCTACTCTGTCCTATAGGCTGGCCATGAGTTGGAATGGAGTCAGCGGCGGCGGCACCTTTTTTTTAAAAGGCAAAACACAGACCTCAAGTAGTCAGGCTATCCTGGGGGGATGCCCAGGGATGTGGAGCCCCCAAATGAGTCTGATCCCTCCCGCCAGGAGTCTGGGAGGCTTCCAGGAGGAGGAGGGCTCCGTGTTGAGACCTGCGCGATGGGCATGAAGCAGGGAGGTAGCTAAGGGAACTTCCTGTGCCATGTGCTTACTGCTCACCTGTGCCCTCTGCTCTAGCATGCGCAGCCAGGGGTGGGGTGGGGGAGTCCTATGGTGCCCAAGCCACACCTTGTGCTTGTCTCCATGTGCTGTCACCCCCCATTAGTGTCTGGAAAGGGATCCTGGTGGGATGACTGTTTGGGGGACTCGGCTTAATTGCTACATTTACTTAATTGCAGCATCTGGAGAAGGGGACTGGAGCAGCTGAGGCAGCTATAGCAGAAAGAATGAGGTTAAATTGCCTGAAAGCTGAGAGGGCTCTGGGGATGTGGGGGAGGGGGCCTGCTCCCATCCACATGCAATCCGATGCACACAGCATGTGCCCCCATATGCCCAGACACGCATGAAGGACACAGGTAGAGTTGCACATGCAGATCACGTACGCTGATGTTCACACAAGGAGACACGCAGGCACCTGGGACACACGCCCCTAGCCCCATACCCAGGCACAGAGGGCAGGCACACATAGGCATGTACACTCAGAACACCTCCTGAAACGCACACTTGAAGTCTGAGGTGGGTGAAAGGTCCCACCTGCAGAAACACATTCTGCACACAGATTCTCTGTTGCATCTACACACAGGCGCCACACCCACACACAGAGATGCAAGAAACACATCCAGAGATTCACATCAAACACCCACGAGTGATGGGTACACACACACACATTAAGGCAGATACACACACACTCAAATCCTGACATGATCAGTCTGTCTGCCAAAAATGAGAGTAGCTTTATAAAAGCACTTAGCCCCTTCCAAGTCAGGAGCTTGTACAGACAACACCTCCAACCCTTCATTAGCACCCACCCCATCAAGCCCAGCCCCCCTGCTAGATATAGCACGAGAATCAGCAAGAGGACCACCATGGGGTCACTTTAAGGGTCTGACCTGAAGGTACATCTCTCTATGTTGGGATCAAAAGAGAAAGGCAGAAAGATGAATATTGCCCGCCCCCAAAGACCCCAAAACTAGTCACCTAAAATCAGAACTGTGGTAGACCCTGGCAAGTCTCACCCCTACAAGGCAACCATAAAAACCGCCGGTCCAGGTGAGATTCTCCGTAACAGTGGCGGAAGACCTAAACACCACTTCCGGGATCTGCTCTCATGACTTCCGGCTTTCTATCGCCATCAAAGAAGACACCCATAAGGATGGGGGGCGGCTGGGAGGGGGAATGGTACACTTGTGCAAAGAATGGAGAGAAACAGATGAACTTTTAATAAGAGCCCTGTGGAAGCCCAGCCACCCCAACTGGGGATTCAAGACTCATGTTACAAAATGACTGGTACTCGAGCTCTCCTGATATCAGGGAGCGGAAACAGAAGGGGCAGGGAGTGACTTCACGGTATATGTTACTGTCACTCACAGCACACTTCCATGCAGGTGTCTTGGCTGGTGGGCAGCTGTTCTCCATCTGGATGACCACACCTTCGTCTCGTGGCACCCTCATTTTATAGGCCTTACAATGATGGGAGGGTGGAGGCTTATCAACTTACAAACAAAACTAGGGACTTAGGAAGGACCCCTGGTGGTGACGAGGATTAAATATTATAGGCTTCTAACCAAAAGGTTGGCGGTTCAAACCCACCAACTCTTTTGAGGGCTGTCTGCTCCAGTAAAGGTGCACAGCCTTGACAAGCTTCGAGGAGCAGTTCTGCTCTGTCCTAGGGGGTCGGTCCATATGAGTCAGAATAGACTCGATGTCAGCAGGTTAGGGGCGACCACCCATGTTTGACCTATGTTCTATGGGTGAGAACTAGACACATGACCATTATGGATGCAAAGTATGGATGCCTGAGAATGTATTCTCAGGCTGGGCAACTCGCAACCCCAAAGATACTAAGGGATTATAGGTTATGCTAGTTAGAGCATTTACCACCACCGATCCATGTCCTCAGGGGGGGTAGCAGGAAGAGAATGGGAATTTTCT